CGGATCCGGATATCCGCGGATATCCTGATTTTTTGAAAGATTTTTAGAGCCCGGATATCCGGAGGTCACGATTCCGGATTCGGATAGTTTTTTCACGGATCCAGCGATTCCGGATCCGGATTCAGATACTCTGAAATTCCAGGATATCCAGAATCGTCCCACCGCTAGGAGTAGTACCCCTAGTAGTAGTACGATGATTGTATTTCATCATAATATATCTAATGTGCTAATGATATATAGCGAGATAAAACATCTTGAAACCATCGAGAAAGATGTCATTTCATGATTCATGCCTACATTGATACATTCGGCCAAGTAAACAGTATGAAAGTTGACTACAATGATAAGTTTTAGACATTCATAAATAGTGTCATGCACTGTTAGGAGTCTTCAAAATGGTGATCTGTTTCGTCAAAGATCTCCTCCTATAACAACAAACCCAAAACAAAAAGTAAGTTAAGTGAAAAAGAATGTTTACTTTTGGTTTGGTAAGTTACAGAAACATTCATCACCTGCAGAAGTTCTTCAATAACATCCTCCATTGTAATGATTCCAACAGCTTCTTCTTCCTCGGCTAGTTTGGGAAGTGGATTGCCGTTTAATTGCAGGATGTCTGCATCATTGTCCTTTGACCACTTCTTGGTCTTACTTCTCTTAAAAGAACTTGCTCGATTCGGAAAGCTCTTCCATTTCTGAAGCGATCTCTTTGTCCTTAACATTCTCTCCTGAGGAGTTCCCTCACTATTCACTTCCACTCGGACTTCCTTTACATTCTCTGTTAGAATCCAAAGCAAAGATTCTCAAGCTTGAAACCCAGCAAGGCATAGTTTTGTCAACTAATGAAAACAGCTTACCGATTTTAGCATTTTTAGAAGGTAACGGGTGGATTTTGTCGCACTGCCTCACGACAACAGCCATGTGGCTGAGTCCTTTCTGGAACTCATTCAATATGTCATACAAAGGCAAGGTTTCTGGAACTCTAAAAAAAAGTAAGACGTCAGATTTTGAAGCACATTCAGTGAATGTCATTGCTTAGATTCGAAAATTTCACCTTGGAATCCTTCTTATTGTGACACTCTTGACGGGTATTTCTTCATCTGGGTTGATAGTCAGCAAGTTCTTTACCTGAAGATAAAAACCAGCAGGTATGTGGACAACATGACTTCACAGAGAATCAAGCCAAACTATGGAAGTAATGCATGAGACTGGGAGTTACCAAAACAAGGCCGATGATGTTAGTTGGCTGCTCATAGTATACTGGAACTCTGCTATGCCCTTTCTCAAGAATCAAGTTCATCAAATCTCTACACCAAACAAAGAAAAAAAAAAAACCTTAGTATGAGATGAATAAAGACTCCAGGCAAGTGTGTTAATGATATGATAGTTCTACAGGGGAATCACAACACAAAACCTGTCTAGTTTGGCATTGATATCAATCGCAAATATATCAGATATTGGTGTCATTGCATCCTTGACCATTTTTTCAGAGAGTTCAAGAGCTCCTGCAATGATTGTTGTTTCGTCATGCGTCAACTCTCCACCCTTTCCAGCCTGAAAGAAACAAAACACTAAACAACGTGGCATAGAAGTGATACAGAAACTTGTCATCTTGAAGATACGATCAATGCATACCTCATTTCCATGAAAATCCACAAGTGTTTTCAGCTCAGCTCTTCGAAAAAGTGCTGCACGACGATGACCCAATAGAAAGTCCAGCAGCTGAATTATTCAAAGCGCCAACAATTTATTACAACGAGGAGCATGATGGATAGGGGCAATGACTCCTGAGGAGATCGGTAAAGTGTATTTACCTTACTAATTGGCCATGCAACTGGTAAGCAGACAAAGACTAGGACACGGACAAACGGAGACACTGTTGCACCAATCGCCAAACCATAACGTGAGCAGATTGACTGAGGTATAATCTGCAGTTGCAGTAAG